AAACGCGCGGCTCTGCGACGCTCATCGCTTGTGTGAGGCTCTGCAGGGAGGCCCGGGCTGGAGATGGGCTCCCTCCCTCCCTCCCCCAGCACCGCGCGCGTTGCTGTAATAGGCCATTTATTATTATCACTTCGAATTTATATCACGATCGTGTCTTGAGGCCTCGGCAAAGATCAGGGCCGTGTTTCACTGCCCGCTTTCCAGGCGCTGCTGATTTGTGGAGCCTGTTCAGAGCTGTAGGTCTTATCCTGAGGGCTCTTTTGCTTTTGGCCGGCGTTGTCGTGGCTGGTAATATTAATATTGGCCGTCTGTTGGACGGCCCCGTTGTGCCAAGCACCGTACAGCTCCGTAGCAAAAGCTCTCACCTGAAAGAGCCTTGGGAAGCCAGGGCATCTTGGTGGATGCAGCACAGCGGGTCGATAGGGGAGCTGGGAGTCCTGCAGCTGAAACGTGGAGGGGTTTATTGATCCAGATGCTGTGGGGATCGTGGGGTAATGTGTGTCAATGAAAAGTGCCTTACTTTGGCCCTTGGGGAACACAAACCACCTGCAGACAGACAGACAGACAGAGATGCGTCTGCTTCTCTGCTCAAGCCAGATGATTTCCATAATCCTTCCTTGCACAAGGACTGCTCTCCTGGCCTGGATGTTCACAATACTGCGCTGTACCCTGGAGACTGGTGTTATAAAATATCCACCTAAACCAGGCAGGTAACAGGGCAGGCTGAAAGGAAGCGAGGAGAGAAGAGGCTGAAAATGACCGCTGAGTTTCGGGCAGTTCCTCTGGTCTTCAGCGAGAGGAGGCTCCTCCTCTGGAGGCAGAGGCTGTTCTCTGTCCCTGCTGGGATGAATATCGACGAGGCAGCAGAGCCAGGTCGATTCCCCGAGCTGCCTTCTGGGGCTGGGGCGGCTGCTCCATGACCTCATCTCCTCAAGGTTTCGGCAGCTTCGCTCCCCTCCTCCTCCCTCCACCCTCCTCCAGCCCCGTCCTTTGGAAAAGGTGAAGGATGGTGTGCGCAGGAGGCTAAAATCCTCCCATCGATCCGCAGTCTGGAGAGCAATTAATGCGAGCCTTCCAGGGACGCTGCGTGACCCCAGCCTCGCCGGTGTGCGGGGAGGAGGGGGTGCACAGGGAGGAACGGGAGAGGGGTTCAAGTGGTAGCAAAAGTGATTAAACCCATCATGGGCTGCCTTCCAAGTGGATTTGCTGTCAGCATTGGTCTCCCAGTTGTCTCCTGTGATGCCAACAGCAAAAACTCGCAGTAGAGGCAGCCCCGTGGCTGCTGGATTTGCAGCATAGGTTTCCCTTATTGGGACGACCAGAAGGGTTGTGCTCTCCCTGACCCCTTCAGCCTTGGCTTTTCCTCTAAGCAGCTGGATATCAGGAGGAGGGAGTGGAATTATAAATGGTTTGTGGCGTGGATGGTGAGGGCTTTCACGTGGACACCTGTCTGCAAGACACCGGCCTGGGACGATGGCTTCTGCTCCGTCCCCACACGCTGGGCCCCATCTGGTGCAATGGTCCGTAATCCATTACCCGCCTCTCAGACTGTCATTTATCACAGAGCAGGACGGAGGAGGCCTGGCAGGGGATGGATGCTGCCCTTTCTGCATCCCCGCCGTCCAGCAGGATGCGGTGACACGTCGTTATTATAATAGAAGGTGCGTCCCTTGCAGCCGCTGGCACCGATTTGTTATCATTCCCCGAACTGCCAGAGCAGTGGCGAGGGGGTGCAGCCGTGCACAGAGATGGAGCCGACAGTGCTGCAGCTTCCCAAGGAGGGGTGGGAGGAAGGACAGGAGCCCCTGCTGCTCTAGGGACGTGGAAATTGGAAGGGGCAGTGGCTGGATGCAGGGAACACCAGGCTCCCCAGCCCTGGCTTGAGGGGTGCTGAGGACACAGGATGGGGACCGAGTCTTTGGAGCTACCAGGGCTGAGCTCCTCTGCAGTCACCGTGAGATTTCGGGCGTTTCTGCAGGGAACAGAGGTGTTTTGCCACTAACTTCAGTGGAAATAGGTTTCCACCCTTTTGCTTTTAAGTTCTGTGGTGCAGAAACTGCTAATAGGCCAGAACCCAAAGTATTGGTATTTACCTTCCCCCTCCCAAGCATATTTCCGTCAGCCAGTCCCTGTTTCCCTGCTCGAAATGGGAAGGGAAAACAAACTCTCCGAGATAAATATTTTGGCTGTATTCTGTTTCTCTGCGTGTGGGTACGTGGAAAATATTGCTCGTTCCCATGCAGCGGGACCTGCCTTGCCCTCAGCCTGGGACGCAGCTGTGCGTGTGTCTGTGAGCACCCTGACCTCCCCTGCCTGCATCCCGGGGCACGAAGAGACAAAGGGAAGAAAAACCCAGAGGAGAGAGGCTTCTGCAGGAGAAACAGTTGTGGATGCAGCATTTAGGGTAAAACTCTACCCGCACTGCTGGGACATGGCACTGAGCAACCTCTCTCCGTTGAGGTAACCCTGAGGATGGAGCTGGCCGGCGATGGGAGAATTCGTTCCCAGGCATTGCTGCAGTTCAGTCCTTGGCTTGCTTTTGGAATAAGGAAGTGCCTAATTTTCCAGCAGTTGGCTGTTCCAGTCAGATCCCCTCGGAGACGCTTGCTCTGGCTGCAGATGGAGGTGTCTCGCGTTGGCTGTGCCTGGAATAATTGAGTTCGCTTTCACTGCCTCTATTTTACCGAGCTGCAGCCACTCTTCCAAAAAGGAGACGGAGAATTACCCCCCACCCCGAGAAAGAAAAACTCTCCCCCGAAATGGGAGAAAAAGCCCCTTGGCCTCGGGGTTTTGTGGATTTTAACGTAAGCAGCTGTGACTTTGTCTCCTGGAAAATGCAATGGGAATGAGAATGAGGGCCCGCGTCCATCTGTCTGTCTGGTGGCTGGGGTGGCGAGGGGACGGAAAGTGCTCTTTGCTGGCTCTTTGGCAGCGGCTCTGCCTCCTCCTCCCGTGCTGCCAGGGCCGCTCCTTTCCCCTGCAGCTGTTACCAGGAGCTCAGAAGGACCCAAAGCTTTTTGGGGCTGGAAGAAGAAGGGGGGTGAAGGGAGCGAGGAGCTGCAGGACATCCCGTTGGACACTGGCTGCCCAAAAAGGATGGGCCTCGTGTCAGCTGCAGGAGAGGCGCATTGTGTGGCCAGAGCTGTGCAGGGGGTGCGGGCTCGGTTTGGGGTGAAGGACATTGCTGTCCCCTTCTCCGAGGGGAAGCGGTGGTGCAGCTACGGGAACAGTGCGGAGAGTGAGGCCGGGAAGGGAAGCGGGAAGTTGGGAGAGGAAATGCAGTGGAAATGATTGCACAGCATCTGACTGCTGCTGTTTGAACAGCATCCTATTGGCGTGATGACTTCCTCTGTAAATCCTGTCCTGTTCCTGTTACCTCGGACTGCGCTGGTGGCTTTGCCAACGAGGCAGAGTGGGGACTGAGTGCGTGGCTTTGCTGTTTGCTCTTCCTGCCCCTCTCGCCTGGGCCCCTGGGCTTGTGCTTCCCCCCATGGTTTTGTTGCATCCCACTTTGTCTTGCATTACCTGCAGAAGTGCTGAAGGAGTCACAGCAAGGGGTCACCTCCCTGGTGCTGATCAGATGCCTTGGGAAAAGGCCTTAAGCCTACAGCACAGATAATTTTGTCATGACAGACCCCTGGGAGAAATATTTTTTCTGGAAATGCTTTCTACCCACTGTAATCGTAGGTGTTCACATCCATGTTAACATCCTCTTGATCTCAGTGCTGTCATGCAGCAGTGAGTTCCACAGGTTAATACTCTTTATAGTAGTATTTCGTCCCTCAAAGCGGTGTTTTCTGGAATTGGGTTTCTCCATTTCTCCTCTCACAGCAGACAGGAGTTACCTGGTGGCCTTTCGGTGTTTTGTATTCTCCGTGCCTCCCTCAGCTCCACTTTGGTTTCCTCCCGCGCTGTCAGGCCCTGGCGACGCAGGGGACAGCGGGGAGGGGGGGGAGCTCCCTTCCACCCTCTTG